ATTTCTGAAGGACTGTAACGTAATTGTCCATCAATTTTTTGGATATTCCTTGCTTAAGCATCGTTTTTTTAATGATAAATTGTGACAAATTCTCAGCAGGAAATTCCTGGGTTATCGTATCTGCTTGAGGATTTTTCTCATTTTCTCTTTTCGTTAATTACGAAAAAATTCTCGAACGGTAAATCAAAACAGGTCGGATGGCACTCTCTCATACGGCTGAACAAAGCACACAGTGCAGCAGTGCATGGATTTTCTGGTCTTGTTCTCTTTTGTCGCAAATTTTGTTGCTCATTAAAAGGGCATTACTAATGAAAGCATCGCTTGGAAACAATCCGGTTCGAGAATGTCCGAAATTTTCAAGTGTGCCATCAGCTGTTTTTGAGGGCATGATCTGAAAGTTTGGTGCAAGGGCTGAGGCAATATGACGTTGAACATCCAGCAAAATGTTCTCGAATGGTAAAGGCTGGAAATGATATCACTCAAATCCAGAGCATGGAAAACAGACGCCAGGAATGGACTCAGCTGATAAATTCATCAAATAATGAAGAAAAGAAAGATTGGAGAATTCTTGGCATCATCTCACAATGTTTCGGAAACAAATGGCCGAACATTTTTTTTCAAAATTTTTTTACCAGCATAGATGGAAGAGATAGGAAGTCCCCTTAGTGATGATGGGATNGGCCGAACATTTTTTTTCAAAATTTTTTTACCAGCATAGATGGAAGAGATAGGAAGTCCCCTTAGTGATGATGGGATCAAAAATGAACCCATAAATTTGAATCCATAAATCCATTAAAAAAATGAATCCATGAAAAATGAATCCATAAGTAAAATCCATAAATTTCATTTCTTCACCGTTCAGTATGCTAAAGATTGATATGACAACATTCAATGATGACCGATTTACGATCCAACGATTTTTTGGTTAGTTTGTTGGACTATGATAAACGAGAAACAGATGCAAAAATACTGCAGTCCTCATTGTTGAGCGAACGAAGAGACACGGTGATGATGCACTTCCTCACAATTGTGCCATGTCGCTTTGTGAATGTTCACGGAAATGTTTATGTTCAACAAGGCGATACAAAAAGATTTATTCATTTTTACTGCTCATCCGCGAAATTCATTAGTGAAAAAACTCGTCGCATACAATCAACGTTGACAACTGAAACTGATTGATGCTGAAAATTCGTAGATGAACTTCCGAAAAATGATTCCTTTGTGGTTATTTATCCTTGTGCTTGAACGTTCGCGTAATTGCCTCTTGATTTACGTCGTTTCACCAGCGCCTGTCTCCGTTTCAGCGACCTGTCTATCATTGAGGGTGCGACTCGTTGTTGAGGCACAGCAGCACCGCGGTCGCCATACAACGATGCGTCATCGAGTGATGGCGCAAACGCCATTGCGTGCTCGATATGCGTCACTCTCGGTGGGCACGAACAATAGTTACCATCTTCACCAATGCGGCCAGCCATTCCAGGCTGAGATCAGTTGACGTTGCACATCAATTACTTATCACT